AAGCGGGGGCTGGACAGCTCCCCGGCCTAGGACTCCTGGTCTCCCTCCGACAGGGACCGGCCAGTCCAGGACCCACGGGCTGCACTGCCGGGTGGGAAGGGAGGCGTTGGAGGGGTTGGGGCTGGTGAAGAAGGGGCAACTGACTTCTCTCCTAAACCAGTCATTGAGAAAACAGGTATCCCCCAGCGACCCTGGGACCCTAACCATCCTCCCAGGGAGATGGAATCTTCCTCTCACCCTTCCCCACCCTCCCCCCAGGTTAGGCAGAAAGGTGATTCCAACCCAGATGCAGGCGCCCTGCCCTGTCCCTTCTCTAAAAGGAAGAGAAGGACCTGGCAGAGATTTTCAGCTGGAAAGGGGCTTGGGGACAGACATCTTCTCACCCCTCTTTTATAGATGGGGAAACAGAGGCCCAGAAAAGGGAAGGGTCTGTCCTCCTCCACCCCCAGCCTGGGGCCATTAGAGCAGAGTGGAACCCTGCTAAGGGGCCGGGCAGTGGGCATGGTTCAGTCTAGTGGGTGTGAGGCCAGGGGAGGCCTGCCCTCCTCCAACGTGTATGTGCACCTGATGGCACCCTTCCCGGGACAGTGGGGCAGGTCCAACCTGTCCTGAAAGGGCTGGGATTGCAGGAGCCCAGACAGCCTCCTGCCAGCCTGATGCCACAGGGTCAGACTTAGACAGAAGGGGCAAATTACTGCCCAGTTGACAAAGCGGTGGGGCTCGCCAAGGCCGTCTGGTACAGACCCTGTGTCCCAACAGGGTGGTCCCAAGATCCAAGGGGCCACAGAGAGTCAGAAAAGAGCAGGAGGTAGAGTAGGAGAACCCAGGTTTGCATCGCAGCTCCATCCCTTTCCTTAATCATGTGACCCTGGGCAGGTCACTTGTTCATCTTCCAAATGACAAGTAACAAGCCATCTCTCCTGGAAGGACTGTGCTGAGCCACTGTCTGCCTGCCCAGGCGGGTCCTGGAGAGAAGCTGCCAGGGAGAGCCCTGTTCATTCACCCCAAGTTCTACAGGCACAGGGCTCAAGTGCCAGAAGCAATTTTAGGGACCCACAAGGACCACCCCCCATTTTACAGATGGGGAAACTGAGGCTCACGAAGAATAAGTCACTGGCTCGATATCGTACACCTCACTTAATTATCTCTGAGCTCCATTTCCTCATCAGCTAAATGGTAACAGTACTGATAACAGTATAAGGTTGTTAACAGCAATGCTGGAAGCCAGGCATTGTGCTGGGCACTAGGCGGGCACCATCTCTTTCGAAACTCACAGCGACTATGTGAGGGTGAGTGAGACTGGGGCCGTCCCGGTGCTCCTCTGGCTGCTCTCGGGCCAGGCAAACAGCCCTGGCTTAGTCACTGGAGCATCCAACCCTAGGTTACGACGTGACTTAGGGCACCTGGGCCCTCAGCCCAGCACACGGTGGCTAAGAAGAGGACTTGGGGGGCTCTCCCTCCTCCTCCCCAGCTGGTTACCTGCAGTTTCTCCAGGGCTGGATAATGGGAAGAGGACGAAGGAGACAGGGAAACAGCGCTAGCCTGCTTCTCTTGTAAGCTGCCGTCACACTCCCTCCCTGAAGCTGGCAGTGTTTAAGCTGACTTCTCTGCAGAGATGCTCTATGGGGTCTATGGAGATGCAACCCCATCACTGGGGGTCTCTCTTCTGTGTCTCTCCCCCAGCAACTGCTCCCTCCACTCAGAATCTGCGGGTCCAAAACTCAGGAGTGTGTATCAACTCCCCCAAGTCTCCTTAAAGCCAGCCCGTCCGTCTTGTCTTAAGGTGAACAGGGACACGTCCCCCTCCCTGGGATTTTAGATTCAGATCGCTCTAAATGTCTTCTTCCAAAATCCGCTGCCAGTCCCCACTCCCAGCCCCGTAGTCACCTGGCAGGTTCTTGGCCACCTGCTTTTGGCCAGTCCCGCTGGGTCATCTGTGGCACTGCTCCATCCAGCCTCTGGTCTCAGCTGACATTTGTATTTTAACATCTCTGACCATGACGTCTGACACCAGGGCCCATTGATCTGGCCCACTCTACCACGCTGCGATTTCTGACCCTCAGTTTACTAGTCTGAAAAATGGGCTGAACAACACCTACCTCGGGGGCTGCTGTGAAGATGCATGGCTCCCCTATGGATGACAACTCTACAGATGCAGCAGGCCGCGCGTCTGAAGGGCCAGCCCTGGCCGCATCTCATGCCACTGTTGAGTTCGTGCCTTGTTGATGCTGGGATGTTTTCTGTGTCTCTGTCCCAGGCAGTCATTCCCCTGCTGGGTACCTGGGTTTAAGCCCTCGGAGGCAGGGGAACATGACTTTCCCTCTATTGCACCTGCCTGTCCTTGGCACACTTGCAGTAGTGTTTAGGGCGAGCTGGCTGATTCATTCACAAAGAAAAAAAAACCTCTTTCCAGGTGGTGCAGACCCAGGGCCATGGGCCAGGTGGTCTCTGAAATGTGACAGAGGGGTGGTCCCTGGCCGGACAGTGCAGAGGTGCTGGCGGTGGCACACGGGGGTGGGTAGCGAGAGGCGATCGCACATCTCAGGAGCTATGTGGCACTTTCATTGCCACTTGACCTGCTGCATCAGCCAAGAGTCTATTTTTGTAGGTGTTTTCTCTGCTTCTAAAGGGGGCAAAGACTTGGTTTTAGCGAGTTTCTCACCACCCGCCTGGGAGAGAGGGCGTTAATTATGCATATGTTCCTTTCAGAGACCACTCTGGCCCCATCGGAGAGCCCCAGGAAGGGCCCAGGACACCAACCATGGTGCTGGTTCTTGGGACCCCAGAGAATGGTCACAAACACACCTCAAACCACCGTGGGTCCCGGGCACAGTGTTCACCTGTCCCTGGTGAAATGACAACTCTGCAGGCAAAGCAGCACCAAGTTCAATCTGTTCCACTTGAAGATTTTGATATTTTATTCTAAAATTACGTCCTTCCTCCCTCTCTGGTGTTAAATATCCTTTCTAGATAATAGTGAGAACATGGGTGATTTGTTGAAATGAACTTATGTGAGGATGGAGAGAGTTGACAGAGTCTTTCAGCCACCATTTGTTTGTAATTCACCAATCTGTGGACTCCGAGCATTTTAGAACTATTACTCCAAAAGTGGAGCAAAGGCGTTGGTCCCCTCTCTCTGATGAAGGCAGGATTCGAACCCAGGAGTGGATGCATCCCATCAGGTCAGCACTCCTTCTACCAGGAGACAGGAGTCCAGATCTACTCCAGTACTTCCATTGAGGTGCTGTGTGACCGTGGGAGATACCCTCACCCTCTCTGAAGCTCCATTTCCTCATCTCTCAGTATGACTAATAATCTATGCCTTCTCTCCATTAGAATGAGATGATGGTTTAAACATTCATTATTCACACGTCAGGAAGCAAGGACGCTTTGGGTGGGTGGATCCATCTCCCAGCATCTCAGTCTCATCCTATATGCTTGGACTGTCAGACCAGGGAGCCCCTCACAGTGTCTAGTCTTCCCAAATACATCTGGAGGAAATGGGGGAGCAGCCAATGGGTGGGGAAGGAAAAAAGATGAAAGAAGCAAAAAAGGGAAGAAGCGTGGGATAAGGGAGGCAAGAGCAGAGAACAGCTTCTGAGACCCCTGTTTCAAGTCCTCCTTGAAGACATGGCTGAGCACCGCGGTCGGGGTGGAATCAGTTCCCCATCCTGACCCCTCTGTCCGAGCAGAACCCTGCTCTGTGCTGCGAGGCTCTGAGATCTTAATTCATCTTCTTGCTCCCAGGCCCCAAGCTTGGTGCTTAGTAAATGCTCAGTAATCATTTGTTGGACTGAATGACAAACTTCTCTTGCTCCTTGCACCAGACCCCAGGCTCCTTGAGGGCATGAACTCTGTGCCTGACCCCTAGTCATAGTCACACTGCAAAGGATGGCTTTTATCCAGCCTGTGTGTGTTATTTCAATCTAATTCACAACAGACTCTATGAGATTATTCCCAGTGTTGCTATCTCCATTTCACAGGTAAGAAAAGTGAGGCCAGGGGAGGTAGCTGTCTCATTTCACATCTCACAGTAACTAGAGGGACCAGAATTCAAATCTTGGCTTCTATCTCCAGAACCATGTGCTGAACCAATTAATGCCAATGAGAAAGATGGCTGTTGGGGGAGGGTATAGTTCAGTGGTAGAGTGCCTGCTTAGCATGCATGAGGTCCTGGGTTCAATCCCCAGTACCTCTGTTAAAATAAGTAAATAAATAAACTTAATTACTTTTTCCCCACAAAAAAAAACAGATAAAGGTAATAAAATTTTTTAAAATGTGAAAAAAATTAAAAATGACTGTTTTTCTTTTCATTCTATAATCTGGCAGATTCATCACTCTACTTTTTCCTAGTATATATAACTCATCTCCTGCCAGTTGAGTGGTTTTCCCCAAAATATTTGCTCAGGCCAGCCACCCATCAAGTTTCCACGATCCACGCGTGTCTCGGCTACATTAATGGTAATTGCTTGGGTGGCCAAAGAGAAAGGCTTCCACAGCAGAAGTCACCCAGGGGGGTTATTTACAGGAACGCCTTAGCTCCGGGCTGAGGAACAGGAAATGGGGGAGCTCCAGTCCCAGGTAAAGAGCTGTGTCTCACACTAGCTGTGTGCTCTTCAGCAAGTCACTTGCCCTCTCCGGAGAAAGCAGGCAGTTTAAATACGTGCTCCATCAAAAGGTCCTTTCCATGTAATCACAGCAAACATTAAGAATGTGGCCTCCAAAAAAAAAAACAAAACACAACGAAGTGGCTTCCAGGGTCAGAGAGATATTTCAAGTCTTGGCCTTGCCTCGCCTTGACCTCTGACAACACTTCACTTCTCGGAGTGACGTCTCCCTTCCCCACTGATGAGCGGAGTTGGTGCTCTCCTCAGGGGACTGCCTCGAGCAAGGGTAAGCAGACATTGTTGATAAACTAAAAGTCGCTTATGCAGATGTGTAACCATCATCGTTCTCATTATTCTCTCCCAAGCCTTTGTCTCCCAGGCTCTCTGAGCGCGATGTCCGCCGTTCCCTCCAGCAATGGGGTGTTTGTCGTCATCCCGCCCAGCGACGCCGGCGGCCTCCGCGCGCCCCCCGCCGTTCTGCCCACCTCCCTGTGCCAGCCTCCCGGGATGATGCAGTTCGAGGAGCCACCGCTGGGGGCGCAGGCGCCGAGGGCCACCCAGCCGCCCGACCTGCGGCCCGTGGAGACCTTCCTGACCGGAGAGCCCAAAGCTTTAGGGGTAAGAACAGCCTCTCCGACCACCTGAGGCTTAGGTGGTGGGCAGGGAGGGAGCATTCATGCACCGTGGAGAGGGGGCCGGCGGTGGAGAGATACCTAGTGATGACTTGAAGATGCAGCCTTCAGGGCAGGCAAGGACCCTTCTCCCGCGGAGCTCCCAGAGTAAACCAGTGATCAAACGACTGAGATAACGACAAACAGGGCAGTGGGGTCAAAAACGACAAGGGGAAGGTGGGCAGAGAGGTCTCTCTGGGAAGATGACATTTAAGCTAATAATCTAGATGCTGGGCTGAAGCCAGCCAAGTGAGACCTGGGGGCAGGGGCTCATCAGGTAGAGGGAACAGCAGGGACGAAGGCCTTGAAGTGGCTTGTTCAAGGATGAAATAGAAGGTGGGCATGCCTGGAATGTAACGAGCGAAGGAAGGAGGGAGATGAAATGATGTTGAAGTGGGAGCAAGGGCCAGCTCCTCTAAGGTTTTCCAATCTCAGATGGCCTTGAGATTTTTTTTTCTGTTCTCTTGCTATTCGTTTTTTTTTTAATTTTTATTTTATTGAGGCATACTCAGTTTACAATGTTGTGTTAATTTCCAGTGTACAGCATAGTGATTCAGTTGTACATATATATATTCCTTTTCATGTTCTTTTTCATTATAGGCCATTACAAAGTATTGAACATAGTTCCCTGTGCTATGTAGTAGGACCTTGTCATTTATCTATTTTGTAGACAGTAGTTAGTATCTGCAAATTATGAACTTCTAATTTATTCCTCCTTCCTCCCCTCCTGTACCATAATTTTGTTTCCTATGTCTGTGAATCTGTCTGTTTTGCAAATAAATTCATTTGTATCATTTTTTTTAGATTCCACATATAAGTGCTATCATATGGTGTTTTTCTTTCCCTTTCTGGCTTACTTCACTTAGTATAACAATCTCCAGGTTCATCTATGTTGCTGCAAATGGTATTATTTTATTCTTTTCTATGGCTGAGTAGTATTCCATCATATAAATATATACCACAATTTCTTTATCCAGTCATCTGTCGATGGACATTTAGGTTGCTTCCATGTCTTTGCTATTTTTTTTTAATGGAGGTGCTGGGGATTGAACCCAGGACCTCAAGCATGCTAAGCATGCACTCTACCACTAAGCCATACCTAACCCAGCCTCAAGATATTGATCTCTGGGAGGGAATCAAGTATTAGACAGTTGACAGATAGATACACATATTCATCTATATATATAGAGAGAGTGTGTCTTCAGTTTGTCCCTCAGCCTCAGTTTCTCCAAGTGGGAGATGAAAATATAGCTTAAGTAATGGTGATGATGATGGTGGTGGTGATAATGATGATGGTGATGACGAGTCTCATTTACTAACTGCCCTGAGAGGTGCTTCCACTGGACCAAGGAATTTGCATGCACTGTCTCCTTAGAGTCTCATGACCACCTTGTGAGACACCATAAATAGTTTCCACTGGACCAGTTAGAGTACTGAGGCTTGGCTTGTCAGTGCTAACTAAGTCACTAGCCCAAGGCCGCACAGCTGGTAAGTGGCATCCTGTACCCTAGGATGGCCTGACTGTAAAGCTCTACTCCCAGCCCCATTGCTCTGAACACCCAGGAGTTCAAGCTCAGACAGGTTGGAATTTAGGATTCCACGCTAACAGTCGCCCTAAGTCCACTGCACAGGAAGGGACGAGAGGCAGTGAACAAAGACGGAGTACTCCATGCGAGGAGCCTGAAACCTCAGAGCAGACTCTGGAAACGACCTCCGAAGGACTCTGGTGAGAAAATGCAAATTGCTGAAAACATAAAAAGTGGAAACTCGAAGTGGGTGTTAGGGAGGGTCACCGAGTGAGAACACAGCAGAGCTGGGGGACCTCGGGCAAGTAACTGAACATATCTGAGCCTTGGTTTCCTCATCTCCAAAATTTGGATAATAAGACCTACGTTCGGGTTAAATGGACGATGTCTGTGAAGCACCCCGCACATCACCTAGTGTGGACTGGCATTTAAGTGGCAGCTGGTGTCTT